GCCACAGCATCCTGCATATCATCTGATCTCATCTGATCTCATCTGATCTAATGGAACACAAGTTCCACGAAGAAACTTGTCAACCGATCAACAAACTTCCATCCTCCGTCCATTTCCTTCTTATGAACTTTTTTGCAACAACTCCATTAATCCCCCCCCCCCGCTCTTAAACTACGCATTTCTTCATGAAAACACAAAACTCTCTTCTCACTTCCTTTAGACCTGAGGTTATTACTGCAGCGAAGATGACGATGTTCTTCTGGATTGTGGCGCCGTATGAACTCTGAAACGTCGGTATCTTCTTACGAGTTCACATGGCGTCAACAGTTCAGAAGAGCATCTTGTAAATCTGTTTGGTTACAAAACTCTCACCGCTCAAACTGTCCGTTCAAAACGCGAACTGCAAGAACGACTTTAAGATAAATGAATACGCGCTGCGTTATTTAATAAGCAAATACACGTTTCCGAGGCTGCTGTGGCCTCACGAAACAAATCACGAAGTGGAATTTCATATCAACACAGAAAACGCGTTTGCTGTTCGTAAACTGTAATATCGTAAACAAATTTTAGCTTTCAAATGTAAAGATATTTTATAATCATTGCCAGTATAAAATTTATTTTATTATTCAGAAGATCTTAATGATAATTTTCTGGGTAATTTCTTATTTTTCTACGCGGATGTGAATTTATAAAATATTTTCTTACGCTTACTTCCACTGGTACTGATAATTTGTAAAATAAAGCAGATATTTATGGTTTCCCCAATGTCCCAGTTCACAGACGTCGCGAAGTAATTTCACGTGTTAAGCAGCATAGAGCCTATGTTAAGTAGTCAGGGCTAGAAGCGTCTCAACTAAGTCTCTCTGAAAGTAAAGGTAAGTAAATAGACCACCGTCACAGCTGGAAGAAAGTCCTCGAAAGTGAATCCACACATCGACTAACTTTCCAAGCCAAGAGCAAACGAAACGCAAAGGCACAAAGGGGGAAAGCAGGTGGTGGGTGGAGAACGCTGAGTGAGTAGTTTCATAATTCGTACAGTCCACAAGAAATCCAGAGTAATAACTTCTGACGCACATGTAGCACGCAAGGGAAGAAACCGCTTCGAAAAACTAGGTATACGGAATGCCCCCCAAAAAGATATGTACAGGCAAAGTTAATATTCCGTATTATAAATTCTATTATCCCCTGTTCATGCGGGAATAATAATTTATTAATTGCTGAGATGGGGCGAGGGGGGGGGAGACTGTATCTCTGCGAAACTGCGGTCGCTGTACATCCCCCCAAATGATACGCTAGTGAACAGAACTGTATCTCTGCGAAACTGCGGTCGCTCTACATCCCCCCAAATGATACGTTAGTGAACAGGGGATGATAATGAAGTACTCGGAATAAAACCTGTCCCAGAGCCACTTCGTCCCACATGGGCCGACCTCGGTGAGAAAACGGGCCTCCGGGCGGTGACCAGCCTCAACTACGGCACGGCCGAGGATAATATTAGACTAGATTTGACCGGCTCAGGAAAGGATGTAGTGACGGCATTACGAACTCCTGGTTGCATAAAAGTCGGGGCAATTTTGGGCCTGTTGAAAGGGGCTTCCAGCAAGGACTCTGATGGATGACGACAATCAGCTGGAAGGAAGAATTTTGAACGAACGGTAGTTTACTCACCGAAGAAACAGCAGCAGAAGACGATGGAGTACAGGGTGATAAAGATGACTCGAACATCAGTTCTGTCGAAAATGTACTGATCCGTTTCGGCTCGGCTGCTGTTGTCATCAGCCATGGAGTCCGAGCTCGCGTTGCTGTAGTTGAGCGAATGCATGGTGCTGCTAATTGGAGTCTCGCAGTGACGCCTCTTGAATCCGCTGCTCTAACAACGCCCTCACTTATTCAGAAGCGAAATACTCCACTTAACAGAACAGTGCATGAGAGTTGCAGCTATTTATCAGTTTCTACCAACTCGCAAAAATCCTCCGAAACTAATCTATTCGAACTGGAAATATCAAAACACAAGTTCCCATACAACAACATCTGAAGACGATTTGCAGTCCACAAATAATATTCTTGCATTAACATACATCGACACTCTCACAGACGTTTAAGAAGTCACGTTCAACTGAAACTCTTTGTAATGGACTGTACTTTCTGTGGACTTTGAAAGAAATTATTGTTCTTTCAAAATTACTGTTCTTAAAAGCACAGACGGTTTAAGTCGCCCGTGAAATTCAACTCCTCCCATGACGTAAGCGTACAACACACACTTGTTATCTGTCGTCAGTTTTCAGCGTTTTCATGAGGAATATCTTACGTATCTCGACGTCTCTCGTGTGCCATTAACGACTTCCCTGATATTTCGGACCCCATGTTGCTCATCCTCATTCGGTGTTCCTTGCTCGCTGTATGCAGAAATGACGGAGGTCACATCATGCCGAAAGGCCTCAGTGAGAACTGCCGATCGATGAGGCGTCATCAGTGTCCATGGCAGATTCTAATTGAGGTTCAAATTAACTGGCTCCATCAGACGCAAATGCCATCTTCCTCCCACTCGGGGGGGATGTCACCTGGAAAAAGAAACATGGAAGCGATTACTTTTTCAATATAAATTTCATCCTGCACAGGGAAATTGTACAGGGTGTTCACGACAGGGCGTGTAGTATCAACAGTCGGTCGCTTCCAGAACACGCCGTATAAGAACGCCACACATCCTGCGATCCTATCAGTTACGACGTAGTACGTAAAACTACGGAAGACTTCTCAGAATATGGGGCGTTAAGGTGCAGACACCAGACTTAATGTAACCCACCGACACATTGAACAAGGACTGTGCTTCGTTCCCTCAAATATTTTACTCGTAATGATCAATCGAGCGTTTAACTCCTTCGATCCAGAATCTTTTAGGCCTCGTCTTATCGGTTCTTCTTATCGTAAGTCGTTTCTGTCTTCTTTTTCAGTATCTTCAGTTTGTCCGTTCGTTCGTCAGCCTCTGTTCAAGTGATTAAGGCTTTCTTGTTGCCACACTTTTTAACACAGAATATCCCTATTCTGTGTGTTCTATGTTGTATATTTTCCCGCATTTATTTTTCTTTATAATGTTACCTCTTTATATTTTACGTCATATGTAAATTACATTACCTTTCGTTCAGTTGTTTTTAAATCTTGGGTGTGATTGGCATTGTTTGGCTGTTGCCAAGCACATTAATTAATTTAATTATTATTTAATTAAATTAGAGGAATTCTAAAAAAGAATTCTCGAAGTTAAAATTGTGTAATGCCTTTTTATACGAATAGAATTCCATTGAACTTCCATAATAAAAAGTTCCTTGAATTACCAATTAATTTATGAGATTCTATTTCTTTCAACTCGATTTCTCGATCGGACATCGACGAACCTGGTTAAATCGCGAAAGACAACAACGTCATTCCTTTCATTAATTCCTAGAACAAAGCTCGAATGGGCGCAATGTATAAAGTTAATGGAGGTGAAACAAGGCGACGCTAATATTTAAATAAAAAGATTTGCAGCTGCGGAGGCTTCAGGCCGTGTTCTGCTTCTGGGAATTAAAGCATGCGAAAATATCAGAAGCCGTGGGTCGCACAACACATCCAGATTTCGAGAAGAATTTAAACAAATAACTTGAATAAAATGTCAGTGAGAAAATAAAACGTATTTCCATCCGCACATCGGCAGGGCGGGGAACAAAATGGCGAAGATGTTTCGACTGACTTTCTTTTAAATTTATTGTGAGGGGCAAAAGAGGAAACTTGAAGCTTCTTTTTCATTGTCATCCAAGATGGCTCTATATTTACCACAACAGCAGCTGAGGGAAATGCAGGCCTCTTATAAACTACGCATTTGCTAATAAAGAAGATTTCTCGGTGGAAATCACAGAATGGCACATTATAAGTTGTTGGTGTAGAGATGCGAAAAGTATGAAAAAGGACTGTGAGAGACGTAAAGGAATGCGATAAGAGGCAAAAAGTAGCAAGATTAAACAACTCCCTACGCACATTCGATGCTCCGAAAACGGAGAAGAGACTTCTGTCTACTAAGAAAAGCAAACCCGGACACAGAGTTCAGATAAAAAAACTTAGAGGCCAACTTCTTATAAGAGAACGCTTTTCGGTGTTAGCATTACCAGAAAATGCTAACATGTTGTTCTAGTGGAGGGACAGCGAACTGAGTGTGTGGAAGGTGACGAACCACACAAGAATCGCCATAAAAAGGCACGTGCCATCCTGTCGTGTGAGTTTCACCCCAAAAAGCGATGTACAGTCAAATGGAAACAAATTACGAACAAGTTGAAGTACAGAATAATCTAGAACCACAAATATGGCCCTCGTTAGCATCACGTTTGTGGTACACTGTCGCTAATATTTGTATTAGCAGGTGACCCAAGGCATTCTGGCTCTAGTAATCACTTATTTGATGTAACCCGCTGTATGAAGCTGACGTCACGCAACGCGTTTAGTGACCGCTTTATATTTCATCTCCGTAAAGTGACAACCAATTACGTCATGACTGCAGTGACGACAAACTGAAGTCTTTAGCCCTGAGGATCGGGGTAGTAGGTTCCTCTGAAACACTGTCACACAGTCAAAATATTAAACGGCGCAACAACCTAGAAGGCAGTCGATTTAACGTTCAATAAGTTAGGGGTTTTTCTTGGCACATAATATCCGGTTTGGACTCGTCAAAGAATGAGTTGTATTTTCTCGGCTTTTCTCGAGATGCGGCGTCAATCATACTTCATCTCATTCTTTCGTCTCTTAATGTGGAATTAATCTTGTCACTTCGACGAGTGCAAGCTATCATCGGCTTTTAACGCAGGGCGCTGAATCATACTTCAGACCAAAGACGTATTGTCGTACGTGAATGTTCTGCTTCCTGTAAGGTAGCTACTGATATCGTCATTTTATTATGACGACGCTGATGGAGTGTTTTGTGGAGAGGGGGGGGGGGGTTAACATCACCGAGAGAGATAGAGGATTATTGATATTCGCCGTGGAAATCTCGTTACTTTTATAAACGACTGTTTATCTGTTCGGGAAAACCAGTATTCCGAACAGCCAGCACGCAACTTCAATAAAGATTCTGTAAATCCGGGATCATTTATCGACTTTGCAAGTACTGATAATGCAAGAAGGATTCTTCATTACAGCTTACAAAACCGAAAATAAATTCATTAACATAAAGGCGCTGGAATAAATACAGTCGGAAATAGTTCACCCTTTGAAATATATTCCATTTAGCCACTGTGAGAATTCGGGTTCGATTCAGGTAACCTCGTCCACGTTCGTTCATTCATCAGCGAAACCACGAGACAATAAAGAGGCTTCCAGTCGTACTCCCAAACTTTTGCTGTTGATAAAACATATCTAAAAGGTAAAATAAGCCATTCTCTTTCATTAATGTGACAATTTTATTCGTGGGTTGCACACAGACAGCAAGCAGAAAGGCGAAACAAGTGTTCTGTGGTAGCTATAAGAGAGTCGCAGTGAATTATCACCACCAAAATTTCTTTGGTAAATCTCAGTGCCTTCCAATGACGAACACAACCCTTCGAAGTCGAAGCTCGTCTAAATATTACGTATTTAAGAATTCAGTCCGTACCGCGAAGAAAACACAGCTCTTCACCATTACATGGATCAACTGGTTAACGCTGTTTAAGGAAATAATCGCTGTTTGCTCTGAGAAGCAAACGACAACTAACACCTTGTGGGCAAAATTCAGAGTTACTGACTGTTTAAGCAGGTGGTACATGTAGTTGCCAGTAGACATGAGAGGTTAGCGACCAGCCACAAGAGATAGCAGCGAAGCAAACGAGTCTCATATGAACAACCTCGACAATTCAAATTCAACATCCACCGTTTCTCCACCATTCACAAACACCCTACCTCCCGCTGAACGATAAATGGCTTACTCAGTTGAGAAAGCGTCATTAAATGAGATATAAGAGCGCCTTCAAACATAAAGAAGACATCAAATAATGCTTTAATAACAAATTATACGCATTTCAGTGACATATACCAAGTAGACAAGACTTACGAATCAGCGGTGACAGCGTTCCGCTTTAATTATTAAATTATAATAAAGGTGTTATAATTACTCGTTGCCTTACAGACTACGATATAATTACTTGCTTTTGACGTAACAATAAACAATTAATCATCTAGACTCTATAAGATGGCGACATCACCATACGAAAAGAGAGCGTTAGAGAAAAGAGATCAGTCCTCAGAGGCGACCACACAGCGTCGCACAAAAGGCGAGACACAATTTCTTTGAGCAGAAGAGAGATTTACAACGATTTCGAGGAGCTTATGCTAATTACCCAGCATGCCTCTCTTCTGCGCTGCATTCGCAACCATTTTCATCGCACGTCTCCCTTAAGTCTCTTTCTCTGCTAGGAAATTCGCTACTTATCTTTTCCTTTTACTCACTTTCCCCCACGCCCCACGCCTTTATCTCTCAGTATCTGTGTCAGTTTCTTATTAACACATCGCTCAATCTCCAGTTTTATGTTCTCAATTCCCGAAAAACTTTATTCTTGTTCCATTTTCGCTCCTTTCTTTCGTTGCATCCCCGGTCCTTAATGAAAAGTGACAGGCAAAACGCGTAACAAAAATCACGTACAAACGACGTGGAACTGAGCCTTAACTTAGTTCGCTGATGTTTTACTCCGGTGTCACAGGATGAGCGCTCACCGACTTTCGCTGATGTTTTACTCCGGTGTCACACGCGCGCGTCTCTCTCTGAGGATGAGCGCTCACAGACCGAAGTTGGACTCGCGGCTCCCGAGAGTCAACACACCGAGAAAATAAACGCATCAAGGGAGCTTCAAACTCTTCAGCGTTTCAACCTAATTAATTTAAAATTGTAAAACCAAGAAGAATGAAATGCATTGGGCATTCAGCACACAGGAATAAACAAGAAATTCATACCAAATTTTTGTCGGAAAATCTTAAATGAAGGGTCCTCGTGGTAGACCTCGGCGAAAACGGAAAATTACAAAAGCGGATCCTTCACAAACATACGTAGAAAACTATCTCGGAATTTTGTACAAAAATAAAATTTATTTTCTTCTTACAAATCAGAACTGAGCCATTTTTCAACTGCATTGAACAAACGGGGCCAGGCACTGAGAAGACGAATTTTAGAAATATTCCGTATCACGCTGTAAGACCAGTTTTGCTACTCTACGAATTCAATTGTCGTCTCGAAAGGGAGATTCTAGAAAAGGAAACGAAACACAGTAATACGCGCTACAAATCGTTTTACCGGCATTGCCACACAATTTCCCTCGAGATACTTAAAGACGTCCTCTTTCTCTGCAGTGGGAGTGGGAGTGGGCAACGGAAATCAGAATTGCTAAGTGCACATAAACCTCGATGCTAGTAAATATCTGCCCTTTGCAAAGTTAGCAACAAAAGCCCTGGAGCGGAGAAAAGAGAAATGGTTCGACTATAAATCGCAATTTACAGCGGTCTCTCACATTACCCAAGCCCTTTCCACCAACAAAGCGTTTATTTTGCAAATAATTCTTCAAAGCATAAACGAGTC